GCTTTGGGGGCGGCCGCGCGGAGACCCAGATCTGCTCCACGCCGTTCGATGTATCTCTGAGATGTCGGGGCCGTCGTAAAGGAAAAGTGGTTGGCGTTGAATTAAAAAAAAAAAATGTATTGATCATGGGGAGGGACCGGGGCAGCTAGGGTGACTTGCCCCACGCCCGGCTTAATTGAGGCTCCGAGAGTTTGTTCATTCAAAAGAAATAAACAATATATTAATCTCTAAGCCAAATTTAATGCTACAAGTTATTTACAGGGCATGGAGAAATTAATTATGTTTTTGAATTTGAAGAGGAGGTTTTTTTGTTTGAAACGAGAGGCTCTCCTGGATCAACTACCCCAGGCCTCTGGTTTTTCTTTGGGCGCTCCTGATGAACAATATGCTGTTTATTTGCAATAAGCATTGTAATGGCTATTCACCGTAGACATGTTATGACTACCCAGCCGCAACACGATGCAATAGTGTATAGTTGTGCATTAACATCAAAACGTCTTGACAAATGCAAGAGTTGAATGCAAATTTTTGTTAAAGGATCTCAAATATAAAGTACAAAGCGACTCTCACATGACGACACTGCCAAGTACATTTACGGCTCTGACAACATAAAAATTCAATAGTACTTCATTACAAGTCTTAATCATTACTAATTACAAACGAGTATTCGTGAATGGCCATTGAAATTTCCTCAATAAGATAGCATTACTCTGCAGGCCTAAGTAGTACGCCGCGTTTCTGAAAATAAGGGATGTTTCTGCTTTATCAAATGAATACAAGTAATAAATCAGTTTTGAAATTATCTTCAGTCTTCCGATAGTAAATACAAACATTGCATAAATACTGAAAAAATCAAATGAAAATATATTACGTATATTCTCGAATCGTTCAGTGTGAAAATAATGGGTTGTATTTTTCCAAATAAGTTCGAATTAACATCGCTGAGATCTAAGCGATTTTTCAATACATTTTTTGTTTTTCGTACTTTTGTTGTGATCGTAATCTACTTATTCATATATGCTCCAAATAAATTAAGAGCAGAAAATAAAAGTGTATTGCACCTCAGAGATACAAAGATATTGGCGAATGAGAGATTGATTTCACAAAACATGCGAAGACTTAAAGATTTAAGTTCCGTTGAAACAGATACTCTGGAAAGACCATTTGCCTGAGCACATTCAAGTGATCAATTTCTGAGTGTCAATATAATAGTGCGAGAGAGAACAAAAACTCAACTCAGAAACAACACTAAAGCGTATGGATTGACACACAAGAGGACAGCTGCACAATGGTTAAAGGGAATAGGTCCTGATAATCAGTAATGTGCTGTATAAATAAAGCTGATAATCAGCTACAACTAGTATTATTATTTATAAAAAATAATTCATAAACCACATTTAAAACACAAAGTGCAGACACTGGAATGTATGTGCTCAACAGTTCACTCTACGCGTTATAAGGCGTAAGTTGCGTCACTATCGTGCAATAAAATATATCCATCACCCACATTCCAAGCAACCGATGACCCCATCACCGCTAGAAGTAGGCTCAGGCGCGAACAAGAGCCGGCAACATGCAGCTTTGGACCCAGGCATTTCTCACTCACACCGGCAGCATTCAGCACACAATCAATTACCCATCTCCTTATACTATGTTACACATATACATCGCATGTGAACGCAGAGGAAACAGTCAGTTGTTCCAAAGCGTTTTGCGTCCAGACACGCGTGACTCTCGTTGCTACGAGGTTGTCTCATCCGTCGTAGACCTGTGAAGTGCAACAAAGATCACAAGTGAACACAAGTGCTACTCGGGTGCTGGCAGTGCTGTAGAGAGATGTATCATGAGATTACCCCTGCGCTGAGGCCGCCAATGATGCCTGGCAGCAACTGTAAGATGGCGCTGCTGTCCTTTCCACCGCCCTCGCCGCCTCCCTAGATAGCAAACGGCGATGACTTCTCGAAACAAGATGATTGACACAGAGTACTTGGATCTATTGTGTAAGTTCACGTATATTTCACAAGGAGTGATAAAGGATTTACCCCACTAGATGCGCCCAAAATGGCTGGGAGAAGTTGAAGTATAGCACCGCTGCCGCTGCCTTTCCCACCGCCGCCGTCTCCTCCCTGTTTTGTGAAAATTATATTCCGTACGCATTTCTCTAAGCCCTCGACTCGACAAAACGCGGTAAAACGCTTAATGAATATTTACCCCGCTCAGACCGCCCAGAAGACCGCCTAGAAGTCCAGGTAAGAGTTGCAAGATAGCGCCACTGTCGCTTCCTCCGCCTTCGCCGCCACCCTGTGCGTATACAGCGAAATTTCGTTCGTGTGCCTAAGCCGTATTCGACGTAAGATTTTTAAATAAAATACGTAATAAATATTTACCCCGCTAAGGGAACCTAGGAGTCCGGGTAACAATTGCAAGATGGCGCCGCTGTCACTACCTCCTTCTCCGCCCTCGCCTCCTCCCTATCAACACACAACTCTCAAGATCTAACCGCTGTTTGATTTTTCGAAACCGTAATTATATGAAATTGTCATCTGCGATTTTACCCCACTGAGCGATCCTAGCAGTCCAGGCAGCAACGAAAGAATAGCGCCGCTGTCACTGCCTCCGCCGCCTTCTCCGTCTTCACCGCCGCCCTGATTAAATCAGATTAGATTTCGTGTGTTGCGTTTCATACGCGCATCTGCGTTACTGGTAATACAATGTGAAACTGAAAATACTGTACCCCACTGAGACCGCCGAGTAGAGTAGGCAGGAGACCGAGAATAGCACCGATATCAGATCCCCCTCCGCCACTGCCTTCTTCACCGCCCTGAGATTTTGCACAGAATTATAAATTAATATAATTCGCTTACCGAGGCAAAAAAATTTTTAAAAGAAACTATAGTTTTGAAATATATTTTAATCCAATGAATTTAATTTAAAATAATGAAAGTTTTATGTTAACGGCAATTTAATTTACTATCATGGGTTTCTGTTATGAAATTAAAGACCGTTCCACAAATAAAAAAAAAATTTAAAAAAATAATTCAATATCAAAATTCAATAGAAATAATTCAATCAAATAACTCAATATAAAATAATTAATACTAAATTTGGCTTTTAGAAATGCATCAATTTTTTGTAATAAATTCAACTGCAAAGGTCTCATTATTAACCGAAGGTTAAAAAAAATATGAAAAAAAACTGAATTTATTTTTGCATTCGACGCAACCCTTTCGTGCTTTTCTATTGATTTTAATGAATTGATTTTTTTGTAATGATGTAATGATTTTTAGATAGAATTTTTTATTTTCAAAAATAATTAAAACTTGATCGAAAGAAAAGTTTCCTGACAACTGACTGACATGAAAGAAAAGTTTCCTGACCTGACACTGAATTTAACCTCTATTGGATGTTATAAACTTACAACCCCGAATGTTAATAAAATATTAAGCTTTTACCAAATGACGAGATTATATCCAACAAAAATCCATTGGTTTGTCCCATGTGTATCCTTGTCGTCTCGAGAGCCATTACGATCTAATCATTGGAAGTTAAATGTCTACAAATGCTGCATTACATAAATATCCATAGATCTGACATAATGAAATCATTCCCAACTAATCACCCTACGAAGGTACATTGAGCTACGAGTGCTTTTGTATACTTCGTTTCGGCTACAAGCTTCAAACAAAACTAAGCTTCCGAGGGACAATGTGCTATGCATCCCCCGCCGCTTTACCCCGCTGAGGCCCGCGAGGAGGTCCGGCAGCGACGCGAGCAGCGCGTTGAGGTCCAGGCCGCCGCCCTCGCCGTCCTCGCCGTCCATGCCCTGGGCAGGCCACGCGCCCGGTCAGCCCCTGCCGCGCCCCGGGCGAGGGATGGCAAACTCCCGAAATAACGGAAGACCCAGTTTGAAATGTATTCGGGTTCTCACGTAAACTACTGGCAAAAGCCAAGATATGCTAATAATTTTTGCAGTGTATGTATTGGTTTTATAAATGAATGGCGTACCCCAAGGCTTCAGATTTGAAAATACTTATTATAGAAATAGGAGTGTGACAAATGTATTTTATTGAATTCCCTGTTATTACACACTTTTCATCTTTATCACAACATAACAAAATAGATAATAACCGACATGTTGAAAGACAAATGATCGCGCGTTGAAACAAAGACGATCAACGGTTGCCATCCCTGGCGGGGTGCGGGCGCCGCGCGGCGCATGCGTGGTGCAATTACCCCCGAGAGGCTGCCCAGCAGCCCAGGCAGCAGCTCCAGGAGGGCGCCGCTGTCGAGGCCGCCGCCTTCCTCGCCGTCCTCGCCGCCGCCCTGCGCACGCCGTGGGTGAGGGCGTCGCCAACTACGAGGATCGCGTCGGTCGTGTGTGGGGCAAATGTCGTTCGTGATATCAAGACGCGAAATGAATTTTGAATGAATGCTATTTCGGAGGATTGCATTATTCACTTTCCGTCTTTCTTTTTGTAGAATCCGGTTTATTAGTGATATATATATATATATATATATATATATATATATCACTAATAAATATTATATTATATATATAATATGTGTGTGTGTGTGGGTGGGTGTATGTGTTTGTATGTATATTCTGATCTTATTTTTTTCCATAAGAACGTATTTGTGTCTGTTGGCGTCTCACATTCCTTTCGTTTATTTTTATTTGCTACGCCATCGGCTACAAACATTTAACATTCTTGGCGTATTTGAAATACTCGACCAAAAACTTTTAAGACATAATTTCTGCTGTTGTAATGAACATTTCTTAGATGCGTTATTTCTAGTTTTAAACAAATGGTGTATTGTTTTCTTTAATGAGTGAAAGGAGATATAACAGAAAGTTTCTGATTATTGTTTACCAAAAAATATGTATATTTACATTAATACAACTCAAAGATGTCGAACTAATTATTTAAAATTTTTAGTCCGTGAAAAATAGGTGAAAATTTACTCGAGAAAATACGATACTTTGAACGACGTCATTATCTATGGTTACTACCATGACGAAACGTGAAAGAAATGTTTCTTAAGTGACTTAACAAGCTCTCGCGATAAAAAAAATCAGTGAGTATCTCGCCGAGAAAATGAGAAATGTACAACTGGAAAATCGGGATTAAAGTGTTAGACTGAAATTCCTGAAATGAAACTTTATACAATTTGCATTTACACAGCTGAAAAGCATGCGTTTACCCCGAGCAAGCCGCCGAGTAGCGCGGGAAGCGACTCCAAGAGGGCACCACTGTCGCTGCCGCCGCCGCCTCCTTCGCCGCCCTCGCCTCCTCCGCCGCCTCCCTAAGTTGGAAATTATGTTACAAAGCAAGCGATCAGGCAAGCAAGCGGTCAAGCAATGGCGCTCCGTCACCGGCCCAGGCAAGCAGCATCCAGAGACGATTCCATGACGCTTTACCCCGCTAGAGGATCCAAGGACGGCGGGAAGCAACTGCAGGATGCTCCCGCTGTCGCTGCCTCCGCCGCCTCCACCACCCGATGAGTCATCGTCATCACCGTCTCCTGAATTGCCCTGAATTTGCACATACACAAAGCGAGCTTTAAAGCAGCCTACTGCCGAACCCTTAGTTTGGTGATTATTAATACCACCTTCTTAGTGCCTACATTCAAACTACAGATTACCACATCTATTATGTATACTACATGTGATGTGCAATTCCAAGAGAACTATGAGCTTGCTACTGTGTATAATAAAACTTGTTGAAAGTTTAAAATTCATTATTCTTAGGAAATAAGTTAAATTAGAAGGAAATTATTGACCTAGATGGCAGGAAATAAATTTACATAAAATATTTTCAAAAATAGCATATCTTTAGTAGGCTTTCTAGAGTAAAACTCTTACAAAAAGAAACAATTAAATAATCTTGTTTGGAAATATTGAGATTATTATTAAAATATGAGATTATATTGTATTAAATTATTCATAATTAATCTTGTATTGTTGTGTAATTAAATCTATTGACTATATTCACTTTCACCAAAAAATAATTGTAAGAGAAATAGTTTTAAATATACTTATAAATACTATTTAAAATTACGACTGGAACGAGTAAAATAAATCTACAACAAAATAAAATATTGCAAATAGATTGGTATTAAAAAAATTGATTTTCATCAGCAAACCACATTCAAACATCATAATTATTGATTTACAAATGCTTGTAAGTCCTACTTTGATGGCTACTAATTTACTCAATTTCTTCTTAATTAATTGAAATATTTCATTTTTATAAATGGAAAGGAAGATCCTCAAGCCTAAATGACGCCTCTGAGCTAAATTCAAATCGCCTGATTTCGTCGGCCAAGAAATATCTTCTTTCTTGGCTAATTGGTGGTGAAAGGAGCGTAGCGAAATTTGCGAGGTCAGAGCGAAGAGGCAAGCTGTGGCCGAGTCCTCGCCACGTAAAATAAGGCACAATTCAATTTAATTGCAATTCATACAATTCAATTTCAATTCAATTGAAGGGGCAACTCACCCCGCTGGAGGGCGCTCCGAGTACGTGGGCAGCAGGCTGATAGGATGCTGCCGCGTCGCTCGCGGCGCCGTGCCGACGCCGGACGCCTCCAACCTGCGCGGCGCGCGCAGCACGGCGACTCAGGCACCGCCACCTGGCAGGCACAAGGAGGCGGCGCGTCGGGCGAGGGCGAAGAGGCTGAGGTGGCTCAGGGCAGCGACTAATGGCACTACAGTGCCTCTGACATGGAGGTCCTGGGTGGGCGGTCGCAGGATTTTCGACATTAGCGTGTCAGCTAGATCGGATTCAGACGCAGACTGGAGGAGAATTCTAGCGGTCGGTTGCTCTCAAGGGTAGTTCTCCGTGGTTTCGCCCATCAACCCCAAGCGAATACCGGAGCAGTATCATAACAAACGGGCCACGGACCGAGCGCGATCTTACCTTCCTCTTCCTTGTCCTATCCTCACCCTTTAGACGCGCAACACTACCATGCACTACACTACGACATATGCCGGGAGCCCGGTCGGGAGCTTTGGACTTGTCCCGAATGAGGTGGTGCCCAGCTGGTGGGGTGGGAGACACCTGGTTGGGGAAAACACCCGTTAACCGACGGTAGATCGACGCCGAATCTCTCCATCCTGAAAGGGAAGATCACCGCCACCTCCCGAAGAAAAACAAGCACGACACTTACGGGACTAATGATCTTACCGGTTAACGCGCCTGGAATCATCAACAATCAAGTAATCAGTCAATAATGGTTTATTAACCTCCTCTTCCGCCTCCTACATGCTCTGACCACCGGCTGGGGTTGTTTCCTTCTCCCACACTCCCACGTATCTGCCACCCGAGTAATTGGCTACATCGTTCTACCTTAACCCCAACTGTCAAATAGGCAGACATATTATTCGGATAAAAGCTTTTGTGCACCCCGGAGCCTTATACTCAGTAAGATCTTACTCTACCTTAAAACCTCAGTTTCCGGGCCTCTATAGGGTTGGTCCAGTTAAGTGAAATAGGACGACACATGGCCGCTCCTGGGTAGAGCCAGCTCTGACTCGCAGACTAGAGACTCTAGGTACAGAGAGTAACACAACCTGAACAGCCGACGCCATTTAATATCCTTTCACCCAAAAGAGTCGCCAGACAACAATCAGGGGTTTAGTAGAAATGATGACAATCGAAGGCATTATGGAGGGTTTCAAGTATTCGTACTATCGTTCATTTCTGATAGATTGGTGATTCCTAACTCACACGCAACACCGGACAATTCAACTGGACATAAAATGGCAGAATCAGGGGCGTAAAGAAATGCGGTATCTACTCACTACAACTAGGAACTCAGACCAGTTGTGTGCTCTACCTGGTGGTTCCCATCCTACACTGTTACGGGCTGGAAGAAAAACAGAGAATACTGTTCTTATCTGTTGCAAAATCATGAAACTTAACGATTCACTAGCGTTTCAATACAATATATCTCACTCTTTAACAAATCCTCTACTGGTCTTCATGACTTGTTTCATGAATCCAATTACTATATCACGATCCTTTGACTCCCCACGATTCCCCTACGGCTCCACGCCCTTGCTCGCTACCTCGCTCTACCCAAGCGCCGAACTGACCTGCTGCTTGTCGCGGGCGACCATCTCGCTGAGCTCGCGCACGTCGCGGCGCAGCTTCTCCGGGTCGCCGCGGTCGCGCACCAGCGCCACCACCGTGTCCTTGAGGATGTCGTTCTCGAAGGCCTGCTGCTCGCGCACGGCGCGCGCCGCCGCCGCCAGCAGCGCCGTGCGGGAGATGTCGGCTTCCAGCGCCTGCGGAACGAGGAAAAGAGGGCGCTCAGGTTTGGACCCTGCGGTGGGAACGCTCTAGGCGGACGCGTTGGCTTTTCGCGTCGTTAGTTTTCAATTTCGCGAGGGGGAAGAAATAGTCCAAAAATGGCGATGTTTTGGGTCGTTTTTCAAGAACCATTTTTAAGATTCTCCATGTTATTATTTTCTGCACAATAATAGGATACACACACACATTATATACAACAGAAATAAATGAAGCATTTATTACATTATTATAGCAGGAATATAGTCTTATAAATTTGAAGTTTACTTTAGAAAGAAGAGATTACTCGAAAATCAATTAATATAATCGAGTACAATATTTGTACAACTGAATCAAAAACGCTCTTGAATCTTTCTATTTTCTTCAACATGTAGACACCAGTATATGTCTGTTTTTTTAATGACTTAGCAAGAATTTCGTGCTCTATTTAAATACGCCAGTTTCATCTTAATGTCATGAATGCATTCTTAGTTCATGAATTCCATTCATAAGGTAATTCAGCCTCCGTCGTATTCGTCACTTTATACAAGGGGCCAGCGACATCGTAAAATAAGAAGTTGAAAATGACTTCATTAATTAGTACCATTCCCTGTGTAGAAAACCCCGGTTCATTGTTTACGAAAAAACACGGGTGAAAGAAATACACGTTCGTATTCCTTCGTCACTGATAATAAACATAATGCCGACTAACTTCTCAATACGATGCATAAGTAAAAACCTTTACATAAAGATGCACTGAACGTTTATCTTATGTACTTTTTGCGGCAAATATCGAATCTATATTACTATAGTATTAGTCTTCGTTCAGATTTTAATTTAATTTCCTGCCCAACATTTATAACACAACTTATGAAATAACATACGACCACTAAGTGAAATCGCATCACTGATTTATTTGCTTTTTTGCAACGTTTCAACTTCCTGACCATAAATTACACCTCTCCGTCTCTTAGCACTACCATTTGCCTTTTATCTTTCACGGAGCACGAATCTCACTTCCACTCGGAAACGCTTTCGTCGTCGATTACGGCGCGCGTGGTTTTGGCGGCGAAGGCCGCAATCGACGCGCAACGCGGCGGGACGAATCGACAGGCGCGTGCCGCCCGACCCGCGTCGAAACTCTGGGCCCTCCGAGCCAGTTTCTTTTCCTCTCCCGCGCCGCAACAGCGCAGTGAATGTACAAAGACGCTTAGCGGCTGTTCTAATGGTGACAAGAAATTAAAACTCGAAAAATTACATTGAATATCTGCATGGAATTTTGTTTCGTGTATGTCACTGCAGTGCTTCTGACAGGGAAGTCCTAGGTTCGACTCCTGACGATGTCTTGACGGTAGGTCGATTTCAATCGCTATCTGGAGCAGAATTCTAGCGGCAGGCTGTCTGACCGGTAGTTTTCCGTGGTTTTTCCCGATCAATACCAGACGAATGCCGGAGCATTACTCTAATAATTTAGTCTCTAGCTTCTTCACAGCTTCTTCACTCACACTGAACATATTACCTACCGATTTTCTATAGATATTATTTAGGTATTTTTATGCGCCTCTGAACTCCCTTTCTGTATGTTATTTAGATACTTGTCCTTAATGATATTTCTATTTTCGTTGGCTGTTTTTTTTACAATCGACGTTATTCTCCTGTCTAGTTAATTTTATATTTTTTAAGAATTTGCGAGTATTAATTTGATTTTGCCTATATCTCTATGTCTTCGATTCTTAGCAATCCCATTAATTTTTTTCCTCCTCACGTTCGTTTGTGTTCTTTTATTATTATTATTATTTATGCGCTTTAGTACATCTCATTCCAGACATGACTATGCCTCTCCTGCGCGTCTCTATTGAAAAACGTCTTAGGAGGAAAAGGGGACTTAATAGACATGTCTTGCGACTTGGCACTTGTGTGATTTTTATCACCATTCCGACGGACGGACAGACGGTATCTAACTTTCCCTTGTTCGACTGTTCATTCCCTTCCTGCTCCTCTAACATCGCCACCGCATCGGCCGCTCCTTTCCTGTCGCTTCAGGCAACGCGACCGTCGCGCTCACCTCTGTGTGCATACGAGACTAATCGGCCGGCGACCCTCGACGCCGCGGCCTGCGGGGACTTTCGTTTCCAATGCGGTGCTTTCGCCTCCAAACAAGAGGAGGGAGAGGCGCTGGCGCTAGAAGCGGCGGCGGCTGCGGTTGTGAAGGTGGTGGAGATGGAGGCGGAGGTGGTAGTGTGGGAGGCGGAGGCAGCGGCAATTGTAGAGGTGGGGCGTTGGAGGTGGCGGTGATGGAGGTGGTAATGATAGGGATGGAGGTGGTAGTGATGAGGATGGAGGCAGGGGCAATTGTGGAGGTGGCGATGGTGAAGATGGTAGTGTTGGAGGCGGAGGCAGCGGTGATTGTAGATGTGAGGCGATGGAGGCTGCGGTAACAGTGATGGGGATAGATACACAGGTGGTTGTGGAGGTGGCGGTGATGGAGGCGGAGGGGGTGGTGATGGGGATTGGGGTGGTTGTGATGAGAATGGGGGCAGCGACGATTGTAGAGTTAAGAGTGATAGCCGTAGGTGATAGTTGATGCGGATAGATGGCAGCCGGCAATTGCGTAGGACATGCGGGCCGATGAGGTGGCGTGCATGGAGTGTAATGATTAGGGATGGAGGTGGTAGTGATGAGAATGCAGGCAACAGATTGTGGAGGTGGCGATAGTGAAATGTAGTGTTGGAGGCGAGGCAGCGGGTGATTGTAGAGGAGCGGTTGATGGAGAAGGAGTGGGTAGTGATGATGATTGGAGTGGTTGTATATGAGAATGGGGCAGCGACGATTGTAGAGTTAAGAGTGACGAGCGGAGTGGCGGTGATGGAGCGTAGGTGGTAGTGATGGGGATAGTGGCATCGGCGATTGTAGAGTTGGAGAATATGGGGGGGGGGTGGCAGCGGCAATTGTAAGGGTGGGTGGGACGCGAGGCAGAGGCGACGGACGCGGTCAGGCGCTTGCAGTGGAAGCACTGTTAGAGAGTAGGAGAAACCGGCAGCAGTTCCGAAGGTCGAGGCGCTAGCGGCGGCGGTAGTACCAATGACAGTCCCCCATTCGGGACAAGTTCAAAGCTCCCGACCGGGCTCCCGGCATGTGTGGTAGTGTTGCGCATCTAAAGGGTGAGGATAGGACAAGGAAGAAAAAAGATAAGATGTTGCTCGGTCCATGGCCCATTTGTTAGGGTACTGCTCCGGTATTCGCTTGGTGTTGATCGGCGAAACCACGGAGAACTACCCTTGAGAGTAGCCGACCGCTAGAATTCTCCTCCAGACAGCGACTGCTGTGGGGGAGGCAGTGGTGTGGTCGGCGGATAGCGGTGGAGGCGGCGGGTGGGCGGGCGGCCCAGGGGAGCGGCGACGGCGGCGGGGCGGCGGTGGAGGTGAGAGAGCTTTGCGACCGCTTTTGGAGGGCTATGAAGCGTGAAACGGACGACCGCCGTCTTTTCTCCGGGCGCTCGCTTTCATCGAAATGCGCACGGATTCGCGCGTGGCCATTACGCCGGGAGAGCTCTCGCACGCAGATGCGCCGTTTGCCATTCATTCAACCTGATTCAACTTGATTTTGTGGCGGGTGAGGCAACATTTTCGCTTCGGCTTTGAAGTCGAAATTAACTGCTCTGTGCTTAGAAGTGAAGACACACTATATTTAAGTTACTACCAGTAATAGTTTCGCAACTGGCCTTGCTGCATTGTAAGTGAAATACACAGAAGAAAAAATATAGAATAGGTTGTATAAGATGTATATTCAACAAACATGAGTTTGACATTATTTTTACATGATTGTGTTATTTTTGCATGATCACCGAGATTAGTTTGCATTAACAACACAATAACTTGGACATTGCATTTACTCGTATGTACTCAAAAGGGAAGGCAATATAAAGAAGGTAGCCTACACCAAAGAAATTAAAAAATGAAATAGTTTAAGAAAGTCTGTGCCATTATTACGTTCCACTAGTTTATTTTACATAACTGACTATAAAAAAGCGCTCTCTTCAAAATTATCGTATAAATGTACTTGTTTTTACAATGTATATGCATTTGCAATTCTTCAAATATCTCAATACATTTCACTACGTTCATCTTCATCGTCAATATGATACTTTATAATGACTTAACTCTAATAATTACAACTGAAGTTTCTACAACTTTCTGTATTTCATTTTTTATTCAGAATTACCAAAAGCGTTAACTATCACCTTTTTCTCCAGACCCTCACTTTCATCAGAAAGAAGAGGTTTTAAGACGACTACGCTACGTCAATTACTTCAACCGACTCATGAAGATCATTATCGATCTCATTCAAGAGATTTTGTGTTGCGATTTCGTTTTTTCTGCATATTTTGCTGCATCTTTGACTGTAGTATAAATCATGCAATTTTCAGAGCAAAACAACGACAGTTGAACATTGACAAGCAGTGGTACCCGTCACGATTTTGTAAAACTTTGTAAACCAGTTTAACGTTTCTGTTGTTCATATTTTGCGTACATAAGGTAGAGAAAAATTGGAAGTGGAAATTGCATGAGAAGAATTTTCCTTCCTTTTATGACTTGAAATCAAACATTTTTTTCGATCATTTAGATGTATAATAAATGATTTTACATCATGAATCTTATTTTTATTTGAATTCAAGTTTAAAAAATGATACTTAATATTGTGATACCAATAACATGTGCAAATATTGTTGTTTAGAATATATAACAAAAATCCCCAGAAATGAAAAAACAAACAGCGAAAGAAAAGCATATATTAGATAAACAGTTCTAAAACAGATGGTTTTTCATAATTTAGATTATAATTCCGCATTGATAAACTTCCTCACAAACTCAACCTCGTTCTTCTGAGAGAAAACCTTAAATAAATTCACGCATTCTTCTCAACTTTCCTCCTACACAATGTCAAAGAACTTCCGAAAATACTTCCTAGCAAAAGTTACTCTACTTTTTATAAGTTACAT